TAATCCCAGCACTTTGGCAGGTGGATCACTTGAGGTCAGGAGTTCAAGACCAGCCTGGCCAATGTGGTGAAACCCTGTCTCTGCTAAAAATGCAAAAATTAGCCGGACATGGTGGTGCACGCCTGTAGTCCCCACTACTTGGGACGCTGAGGCAGGAAAACAGCTTAAACCATGGAGGCAGAGTTGTAGTGAGCCCAGATCGTGCCACTGCACTCCAGCCTGGGCAACAGAGCAAGACTCTGTCTCACACACACACACACACACCCTGCAGGGCGGCTTTGTCTTCCTCCAGCTGTGGGCCGGGTACGAGTGGGGCCTCATAAGCAGGGCATTCCTCCCAGGACCAGGAGGCCTCATCCACCCACCCACCAGCCACAATATCCCAGGGGAGGCTCCCAGGGAATGAGGGGCAGTGCCCTTAGGTGTGTGGGACACTGGGGAGGGGGAGATGAGGGCCCATGGAGCTTCTGTGCTCTGACACCGAGAGAGGATAGACAGACAGACGGAGACAGACAGAGAACCAGAGACAGAAAGGGAGGCACGGGTCAAGACAGGTACAGGGCTGGGCCCGGGGTGCCTCACTGACACTGGGCAAGGCAGGTGGGCCCACAGGTGCACAGCGTACCTGGGCAACAAGGCGGTTCAGATCCAGCTTGTCCTGAGCAAGGCTCTCGTTGAGGGCGCTCAGCTTGGACAGGGAGTCCTGCAGGGAGGCCTCCTCTGCCCTCAGCTTGGTCATGGAGAGCTCGAGCTCCACGCGGCCAGCCTCAGCCTGCAGAGTCAGGCCCTCAGAGATGACGAAAGGCAGAAAGGTCGGGAGGAGGTGAGGAGAGACAAGAAGAGACCCAGAGAGATGGACCCTCGGAGACAGGGGAGGGGAGACAAGGAGGGGACATAGCGTGAGATGGAAAAAAAAATCACCGCAGAAAGCCTGCTGCTTATGGAGCCATTGAAAAGCCACACAACACAGAGCTGTGCAAAAATAGCTCAAGCTGCAGGGCAGGACCAGAGTTCAGAGGATCCCCTGAGTACGGTCTAGGGATAGCACTGCTCAGAGCCCAGGCTGCAGCGGACAAGGCCGGCCCCCCGCCAAGGACTCTCTGGGCTGTAGCCCCAACTCTCAGACCCCAGGAGCTGAGTCTCAGGCACTAGATGACCCTGAGCTTTAGGCACTGCCCCCAGGAGCATCCACGAGAGCAAGGATACGGCCATAAAGAGAGGTCAGTCCACTTATGGCTGGGACCAGAGGTCCAGAGGTCTGTGGCCTGCGACAAAGATCAGCCTGTATCCAGAAGGAAGGGGTCAGTCTGTGACCAGGCCCAGAGGTCTGCCTGACACTGGGACCAGTCCATGCCAGAGCGAGAAGTCTTGGGGCTGGGGGTCAGAGGTAGGTTTGTGGTTGTGCAGCAAATAGGGACCCACCTTGGTCAGCGCCTCGGCCACCTCGGCCTTCTCGGCCTGCAGCATGTCCCGCTGCAGCGTGGCGCGGCTCAGCGCCTCCCTCACCTCCACCAGCTCCTTGGCCAGGACTGAGCGCTTCCCTTCCAGCTGCTCTAGTTGTCTATGGCTGCGGGACAGAGGGCGGACGGGTGGCCCATGTCACTTTCCTGCCCTGAACCTCCTGTAGCCAGCGAGATGCTGAGCCAGGGACCAGGCCTGAGGCAGGAGTTTGGAGAGAAACAGCCTGACCCACAGGCCAACCAAGCCCACTACACTTAGCTGCATGACCCTGGGCCTCTGTTTTCACATCTGCAAAACGAGGTAACACTTGCCTCGTGACATTGTTTTTTTGAGACAGAGTCTTGCTCTGTCACCCAGGCTGGAGTACAGTGGCGCGATCTCGGCTCACTGCAACCTCTGCCTCCCAGGCTCAAGCAATTCTCCTGCCTCAGCCTCCCGAGTAGCCTGGGATTATAGGTGCCCACCACCATGCCTGGCTAATTTTGTAGTTTTAGTAGAGATGGGGTTTCCCCATGTTGGTCGGGCTGGTCTCGAACTCCTGACCTCAGGCGATTCCCCTGCCTTGGCCTCCCAAAGTGCCAGGATTACAGATGTGAGCCACCATGCCTGACCTGTTTTAAGGATACAGACTTCACACGTGCTTAAAATGGTGCCTGATACATCTCCCCAAGGGCCTTCAGAAACAAGAATCACATGCACCACCACAGTCTACTAAACATCATCATCGATCACGTCCCAGAGAGGTAAGCAGCACAGTGAGGAAGAGGTTAACTCTGAAGGCAGAATGCCTGGGTTCAAATCCTGGCTCTTCTGCTAATTAGCTGTGTGACCTGGGGCAAGGAACATAGCTTCTCTGTGCCTCAGTTTACCATCCACAAAATGGAGATAACAGCTTCTACGACACAGAGTTATCATAGAGTTGAATGAGAACTGAATTGCTTAAAACAGTATCTGGCACTTAGTGAAATTAGTAAGGATATTGTTATGATCATAACTAAATTTTAAAAACACTATTGTTAATATTACTACTGTTATTTTAATTATTGTTGTTATTATCATCCAAGTTCTACCTTTTAACTAGTTCTCTGATCCCAGGTAAGCGACGACACCTCCCTGAGCCCCCAATTTCCTGAAATGGGTTTGGTTAGAAAACCCGACATCAGAGGGGTCCAGATGGTAGGAGGCCCAGGACCCAGTGGGTGCTCCCTAACCCCCCAGGGGCACTGTCAGGGGATCTGAGGCACATCTGAAGGGTCCTGGCAGGCAGGCAAGATGCTGCTCACCTGCGCTCAAGCTCCCGGCGCACCCGCACGCCATCCTGCACCGCGTCCTCCTGCTCTTCCTCCAGCCGGTCCCGCTGGCGCCGCAGCTCCTCCTGGGCAGCCTGCAGCTTCTCCC